GTCTAGTCTATGAGAGTGCAAACCTACAGAATACAAGACTCCCAAGAAAAGAAATGTGTATTATATTAACATAAATCAATTAAAAAGCATTCTTATTTATGATTTTTTTTTAAACAACTGGAACCTAGTATTTAGGTTACTATATATGCCAGTGACTGCTGCGCCTAGTCTGTATCCCACGAAGAAAGGCATTTGATGTTACCATGGCTACCCTCTCCAGTCTCCACTGCTGTGGATGTGCAAGTGTGTTCGCAGCAGCACGGCAGACAGCCAAAGCTAATTTGTGTTTCTAGGTGTGGCTTCAAACCCCCCCCCCCCCCCCCCATTCTCATTCTTTGTTTAGCCTAGATCCATCCTAAAATGACTTCATTTCCTGCCTGCTGATTCACCCTTTATTGTGTCAGTGTTTACTTGGCAATAAACCCAGACATACGCCTCCATAGTGACAGCACTGCAAAGATGCTTATTCATCACTGAAGAATTAATTTCCCTCTTTATTTGCTCTGGTATATATGCCTAAGAGATTTATGACTGCATATTAGTGGTAAACTAAAACAATATAAGTCATTAACTGTAAACGTAAATGATTGAACGCATCTGGTTAACCTGTTTTCCATCATAAACATCATATTCAAAATGATATTAAAGCGAGAGTTTGTTTAAAAAAAAAAAGAAAAAAAAGAAAAACACTCTGTAAATTTACTCACCCCCATGTATTTTCAAACCTGTATGCATTTCTTTATTCTGTGGCACACAAAAGAAGATAATATGAAAAATGTTTTTACCATACAATAAAAGTGAATGGGGTCGAAAATTGTTTTGGATCCTATTGACTTCAATTGTATGGGCAAAAACAATTAAAACATTCTTCAAAATAGATTTTGTGTTCTGCAGAAGAAAGAAAGTCATACAGGCTTGACAGGGTGAGTAAATGATGGATGAACTTTCATTGCTGGGTGAACTATCCCTTCAATAGCATAAAATAAATGGAAATATATGTTGGCAAGAACAAATGATGGTCACAAACACATGATATCAAACACATTTGTGAAGAACATAGCAAAACACTAACCTGGAAAGGAATGTGGATAGGGGGACCCTCTCTTCAGGCACTTGGAACACAGGACATGCACAGAGTAGTGAAGGCCAGGCCATTCCTGCAGAAGAACGTTTAACTCTTCCACTAGGGGGATGATGGCTTGCCAAGCTGTCCAGATATTTGGCAAGGATGCATGGCTAGAGATGGAGAGGATCTCAGGCTGCAATCTGCTCCGAGAGGGCCGGTAACTCACCGTCACAGGCACTTTCCCCCGATAGGCAAAGATGTGATCCTTTCCATCGGACCGTTGCACCACGTGGCTGTTGATTTGCACACTATACCGTGCAAAAAGTCCAAGAGGGGTGAGGAAAGGAAATCTGTATTCAATCTGCAGCTGCTCGACCGAGAAGAACTGACCAGGGACCGATGAGCCCCCACTGGCCGAGGCCTCAAGTTGGGGCTCCTCGCTGCTGACTTGACTGGGAAACTTATACCAGACGGTGGCCCCATTAAGCGGCTTGCTGCGAGGTTTGTTGACACAGTAGCAGACGCCCATTTTTTCCAGCAGTTCCATGATCAGGTGCAAGTCCTGCTGTGTCTGTACCAGAGGTTTAAGCAGCAAGCGAATGACGTTTGATGGCAGCAGGCCGTGCAACAGAAAACCCTCCACATGACCATGCATCTGCGTAGACCTGGTGTTGTCTCCGTCATCTCCTTCATCCTGTAGTTTCTCAAGCATTGCAGCGAGGTCCCTCTGGAAAAACACATTCAAGATGGCGATAAACCGGGGTAGATTGTGGAAGACGTATTCCTTTAACGTCATGCTGTCTTCAAAGTACAAAAGTTTGCCGCTCTCGTGTAGGTAAGAGAGTGCGCTTTGCAGACGGTCCTCAGTCAGCCCGGCCTGAAGGCCCAACCGGGCCGAATCCCACCAGGAGAGCCATAAATCCTGTGGCTTAAAATGCAGTTCCTCAAGCATCTGCCATGACTTTGGCAGGACTCTGTGAAGATTGGGGAAAATCTCCCTGTGATCGGCTACAGACATGAGCTTCTCTTTCAAATGCTGGATGTTTCTCTGTACCTCCACGCAGCTAACGCATATCACCGGAGAAAGGATTTGTAGCCGATTGTTGAGCATATATTGCAACTGGGACTTTTTACGCCTCAAGTTTTTATCTGTGACCCCGTAAAAGAGAACATGGGGGCTAGAAGTCCGAACAGCGTAACCTAGCTCAAGGGCTTCATCCACCTGCAGGGCAAACACATGTAGGCATTCAGTGTCTGCTTTTTCCTGGAGCGAAATCTGTCTGTGAATATCCAGGCACTTTTCTTCAATCTCGACTTCTTCACACAAGTCGCTGTGGGTCCCTACAATGCAAACAACTGCATGTGGCACCTTGGCACTGAGCAGGTGGAGGAAACTGCCTACATGGGAGTAGAAGCTCTTTGATGTATATAATTTCAGATTCACCACCAAAACGTAAAGAGCTCCGGGAGAGAGGAAAAAGGGTTTGATAAGATCATAGTTCTGCTTACCGGATAAATCATATACAATGAACGTTAGACTGCGTTCTGCATCCGCTACCCAGTTCGTCACATCAATACCCCTACATCCAATCGCCATCTTGGCATCTGATGGTTTGTTGACGATGCACTGCCTGAGTGTGGTTTTCCCTGCATTTCTCTGGCCCATCAAGACCAGTTTAAGTCTGGGTTTTACAGCAGATTGTGAGTGTGCGAGCTCCTTCTGATAGGCAGCTATGTAGGGGATCCCCTTCATGCACACTTCATATGGAGGCTGAATGAGAGGATTATCTTTCACCTTCCAAATGTTGACTTTGGCAAGTTTTCCAAAATTGTCTGGGAGTATGGCGATTTGGTTACCTTGTAAAACCAGCTCCTCCAATTTCCCAAGGTCTACAATAGAGTCTGGGAGAAATGTTATTCTATTATTGTCCAACCACAAATTAGCAAGATTGCACAGCTGTCCTACCTCCTCAGGGAGGAACGACAGTTTATTCCGGCTTAAATACAACTCCTCCAAACTGGTGAGTTTGATAATAACCTGAGGAAAATCTTCAAATAAATTTGAGGAGAGATTGAGCATTTTCAGCTTCTGCAGTTTCCCAAATGATTGTGGCAGATTTGTGAGGAAATTATTATCGAGCATCAGGCTCTCCAAGTTCTGCAGCTCACAAAATGTTTCAGGCAAGAATAAGAGGTGGGTGCTGCTGAGCCACAAAATTTTAATGGATTGGAGCATCATGATGTTACCCGGAAGACCCTCTAGTTTGTTCCCAGAGCAGTCAAGCTCCTCCAGATCACAGAGGGCAAGGATTTCAGAGGGGAAATGCTCCAGCTTGTTATGATCCACATCAAGTGTTCGGAGCTTCCTGAGCTGTGAAAAGGACCTGGGGAAATCATGCAGCTCATTGAAGCTGATGTCAAGCTCCTCCAGACTTTGCAATGTCCCAATCTGAGATGGCAAGTATTGGATTTTGTTATGACTGATGCACAACTTTTTAAGCCCCTTGAGAAGATCAATATCTTCTGAAAAGTGGTTCAAGCAGTTGTGACTGATATCTAACTCAACTAGCTGACTAAGTTGAAATACTGCAGAGGGAACAGTGGCAAAGTTGTTCCTGCGAAGAACAAGGATGCGGAGCCTGGTGAGGGTTGAACCTAGTCCATCTGGAAGCTCTTGAAGTGAGTTGTTGCCCAGATTGAGGACCTCAATCTCCTTTATATCCTCGGGTAGTGTAATTGTCTGGCTGTTTTTGGTGCTGAGAGTCAGCTGTCGCAGATTGCTCCTCAGCTTCCTGGAGCGCAAAGCAGCATCCCTCCATAATCTAGCAGTCTTCAGGTTATTCTCCTCAGCCATCGTATCGAAGCTGTGCTCCTCCTTGTTTTCATTGGGCACTGTGATCAATCACCTAGGCAGCATGGTGCCGCTTTCACTTGCTTCATCGATTCGGGTTGTCCGCACAACAATCCAGATGAAACCAACATTTAGACCGTGCCGATTTCATCTTCATCCAAAATTGTGTGGTTCCGTTCAATCGCATTCAAGAAAACAGGGCTGGGCTGCGTTCTTTCACGCATCCTCGATCACAGGGTAAAACCAACACGCGCGCATTAAATGTCACAAATATTCAGCCTAGATCATGTGGCTGGCGCTTCCGCCAGCGCGTCCTTTGATACCACATGAGAAAAAACCTAAGACATATCCAGTGAGTTAGGATGAAAGAAGGGCAGTGGTGGTTGCTGTGGTCTTTCCTTGTGTCTCCGCCTATTCTCTGCGCATGCAGGCAGCAGTGAATGCTCACAGGACCAGCACTGCGTCAGAGCCCCACCTTCTCTACGCCGCCTGCGACGCGACGCGATGCTCGCGTAAACAAAGGTTTTGATTGGTCTGGTGGTGACGAAGGACGCGTCGCGTTTTAACAGCGGTTTTGATAACAAGGAGTAGCAGTAAAGAAGGTCATTTCGTTTCGGTTTAACTATCAGAAAATCCAATGATGTTCATAAGACCGTGTAAATAATAGCTTACTTCTAAAACATATCATATTAAGAGATGTATCTGGATCCTGTTCGCTAGATATGAATGGAACTTTAATTTCTGTACAAACACACTGGGAAGAAAATCAAAACACTATAATAGACTAGGAGAAACTCAAACCATAATCATGCAAATAAGCCGGACTGGACCTTGTTGACATTAATGATGGTGGGCTGTGTTGTTTACGATTACAGAGACATGTTGTTTGACGCCATCTACTGGACATGGTGCGCAGATGCATTCATTTTGATAAATTACAATGTGTATCTAATCAAATTATCAGAAATATTAACGTTTATCTCCCATCAAAGTGAGAGAAATTACATACAAATTCATGCACTAATTAAAACAGGATAAAACAGAATATTGTATGATCTCTTATCATAATAATATTGTACAGTGTCGTCATAAAAAAAGTTTATTGGCAATAGAATACAAATTGAGCTTTTCAGTTTTTCAACGGATGTGCGACAAAGATTAATAAAAGCAATGCACAATTATTGATCACCCATCAGACTTTTTCAAGCTTTTTGCCCTCAGCTTCTGTTTCAGTTGCTCAAGCAAGTTTCAAAATACAGTACATAAACCCAATTAGCTGTAAAGGTGAAGCACAGCCTCACCCCACTGATCTGCTATGATGTAAGCTTTTGCAGCAAAGAAATCACACACATTACTGGAACAATTTAAGTAAACCTAGATTAGTTTGTCCCGATTACGTAATGACAGGTTTTCATATTTTGTCCACATTAAGCAATGTTAGTTTTGGGAAAGAGTCTTTTTAGTCTCTTTTCTTGGGCATTTGAGGTGCTAGGGCTCCTTCAATAGGGGCAGAGATGGGCACGCTCCGTAGTTCTCCTGAATGCATGCACTCGTTCACCCGCAGCTGACAGCCATCCTTCAGCATGTGGATGGCAATTCTGGCAATGTTGCGGGAGTCATCTAGACCAGAGTGAGGACGTCCGTCATACTGCATACCAAGATTCTCCAGCATGCAGATTAGTTTCGTCTGAGTACGAGCAACCTGAGAGAGACAGGATGAGATGCATGAAAACCTTCAAATGTAATTCTCCAAAGCCAACTTATTTACAATTTAGATATCCTTCTATGGCTGTGTAAGGAATCATGAGGAAAATGAACATGAAAACAAACCTTATAAAAGTTTCCATAAGACTTTCTGATATTGATCCATTTTCTAGCAAACTGTGGGAATCTGATTTGACTCAGTTTGCATTGGGTACGGAGAAATTTTCCCATGTCCCATGACCTACACAGAAAAGACAGTGAGCTGTACGATATATTTTGCTCTGCAACAGGGGCAGTTCTAGAACCTTTTTAGGGGGGCTTCAGACCACCTGTCTGTCTTCTCAGCCTCCCGAAAGTCACCTATCTGAACAATCGGGCCAGTGCTGCTTACTCAAGAAAGTTGATCTTTTTCACGTGTTTTTTAAGTCTTCTCAGTTTCAACATTCAAGTGATTTTAAGCCATTCAAGCGCAAGACGCCACGAAAGAGAACTCAATGTGATAGACATTTCACACCTGAAGCTTGCATACAATAAGCCGCCTCTCAGACAGCACTTCTTGAGCAAATACACAAAATTGTCAAAATTCCCATCTTGACAAGTACCCCCACGTAAACACAGTTGGTTATGTCTTAGTGAAGGTAAACAATTAAGAAAATATTGGATGTGTGTCAATATAACAGATCCTTACATTATGACTTCATAATCACTTAACCTTTCGTAGTTTCCTATGTTGATAATGTTAAACAACAAAATAATTGCTGCTCTTAACTAAATACAGTAACTTCTGTGGCTTTAACCGGTATTTGTGTATATTTACTTCATACAGTAATAGTTTTCACAAGCACTGTAAAGTGCTGTTTACTTCATTTGTATCTGTTCTCTTGTATTTATTTGTGCTATTGCTTGTCATTAGTATTTTTTTTTTTTTTTTCTTATTTTATTATTGACCGTTTACTTGTCTTTAATGTTTGAACTTTTTATTGGTTAGGCTAAAAGGCTATTCGTTTTTGCTGTGCTCGTAAATTGGAATCAAGAATTGTAAAATTTCACTGATATTTAACTTGGTATTGTAAGGTTAGGTCAAAAACAATGAAAGCAATAACTATTTATTTTTTAGGCAGGGCCAGCGAATGTTTGGGCAAGTAAGTATCTGATCAACTGGTCTGACCAGGCCAGTAGAAAAAATCTTAATGTTTTAGCTAGTTAACAGTTATACCTAATTATAATAATGATATGATGGCAATTTTCTGTTAGTCGAACAGTAGCCTAGACTAGTAGTAGTACAGATTTGAACTGGACTGCAGAAAGACTGGTATCATTATATTTCTCATAACATTTTTGTATTGACTTGGTACCAATTTAAGTGCTGGTAGGCTACCGTTGACTGACTAAAATGGTAATATAGTGGTTTACAAAGAGGCACCACTTAGGAAATGGTCTTTTGCTACACATTCTCACTGAGGGCGAAATCCTAGAACAGCCCCTGCACTGCACATAGACATTTTAAGCATGACTTTAATAACATTCAGTTTCATCCTTACCCATCTGTCAAAAATGTATATTTGTATTTTGTTCCAAGTTCTTTTTCCTGTAACCAAGAAACTGCTCGCTTTAGAACTTGATCGAATGTTTTCGCCTCATCCACCATTTTCTAGGGAAAAAATGTTGAAAATCAAATATAAATTTGAGCAATTGCTTAACATTATATTAGACTAAAGACAGAACCATATAGATGGCATGGCATGTGGCTTTAAAATACCATTTCTATTTTAATACATTTTAAAATATAATTTAATCCTTTTCAGCATCATTACTCCAGTCTTTAGTATCACATGATCCTTCAAAAATCATTCTAATATGCTGATTTGGTACAAGTAACCTTTCTTATTATTATCAATGTTGAAAACAATTGGACAGTTGAAATAGAAATCTTTTATAAATATCTTAGCTGTAACTTTTGATAAATATAATGCATCCTTGCTTAATCTTGCCTGTGATATTCCGGTAAGTTTCACACAAAACTCGGAGAGCTTGGGGTTCACCACTGGCTTCACATACTCCTGAAATGAGTCTACCTGCAATGACAGTAATGGGATTACAAACATTAACTAGTAAATCAATTCTACAACAATTCACTAAACTCATTGTATGGTATCATGTTTGCCTGGCAAGAATGAAGCACACGTATGCCAGACTGTTCCCTCACCAACTCACAATCTCCAATGTGCGCGTGTGGATCAAAACAATGGGGAACTCGATGATTTCATGGAGGTAGTCAGGTGGGTTATTCTCTTCACATGTTGCTTCAAAATCCACCACACAGATGTAGTCAAAGTATGCATGGCCGTTTCCATCTGCAGCAGTTGAATGCATCAGTTTTTGCCTTTTGTAGTAACTTTTGAGGCGCTTCCTCAGGACATCCTTAACACCACTGAAAAGACCATAAAGAAATTAATAGTACCAGTGAATTTGAAGTAAACGGCAGGTTAAATAACCATAAAAAAAAAACTAAAAGTTCTCAATACCGTGAGTCAAGCTTCAGCTCGACACATTTCGCACGCATCTCATCTCTGTTCATTCGGTTGATGGCGCCGTTTGCCATTGCGATCTCTTTATATACTGGATCACTGAAATCTCCCTGTTTTGGGGATGGGGGATCCTGATCCCCATTTTTTTCACAGGAAGCCTAAATGTAAGTCAAAGGAATGCAACATAGCAATAAATGAATTGCATATTTCTACTAAATATGAGTTTAAAAAAAGAACACCTAAAATAAGCATACTCTCTTCAGTGTTTCACATTAATAATCTAGGTGGGAGAAACATATTACTGTCATTAATTTTACTAACGTTAAACCGAGACTGTCAGAGTTTAAATACTCACATTAGGGCAGCATTGCTCCTCCTGATCTCCCTCAGTCGTTGAACTCTTATTTGCAGGTTGACTGGTTTCTTTCGGCGACTCCATCAGTTGAGTCAAACGTTAACATTAGTTCATTTCAGAAACACACATCTGGTTTCGCGCGTTCACGCTCGATGTCTCTTTTAACCTAATCCGCTGCTTTTCAAATTTTACAATCCCAAATGCTTGTCTCAATGTCTCGTTTACATTGTAAACATTTTAATTAGCGACTGTAGGCGAAGTATTAAACTTCTCTCTGCTTGCCTAGTGTCTAAAATGTGAGGCAGGCGAGAGCCAAGCCACTGACATGATCACAGCGCGCACAGGAAGCCGTCATTGAAATGTCGAACAATTGTAAAATAAAAGCCCCTCTCAAACTACATTTTTGTAAAAACGGTTTATTCATGGTTATTTTGTTTATGTACTCCTACTAGTTATTCAATAAATTAATAAAAATAAACCACCCTCAAATAATTTCCTAAATAAAAACAAGTAATTTGTGTAACATTATCCTATCAGAAGTTAATACACAGACTTACCTAAATTTGCTTGATAATGCTAGTACATTATACATGTCATATTTAAAATAATTAAAACAGTGCATTACTTCAGGCATTCAAACATGCAAAATGCATACATTTACCAACAGGTGCTGGCATGACAGTTCAAGATAAACATCGTATCACAACTGATGGCATCCTACTTCTACAGGTAGAACAAGTCAAATAAGTTGTTTGCTTTCATATGCCAATATTTTATTTGAAGTTTTCAGTGACTATGAACATTTAAAACATTGCATTAAAATGCACATTATGAACATACCTAATACCATCAAGAGAACTTTACAAAATCATTAAAGTGGTTCTGACAAACTTTATATTCACTTTCAAACAATGCAATTTAAAAATGGGTGACAAGAAATTAAACACTGCAACATAATAAAGTGCATACATTAGAGAGAGAGAAAAAAAATGATAATACACATGAACTTCCATCACTAATATCATAATCATGTTGTGCAGTCAATTACAGTGAGAATAAGTCAGTCAATTAAAATACAGAAATACAAACATGTTTAGTTTTACATTAAAAAAAATTATCTGTTCAGGAAAGAACAAAAAACGACAAATTTGCATACATGCATCTAGTCCATCTCGGATTTCACATTTCTGGGAAAAACACTTTCTTTTTGAGTCATTCTGTCTTTGCTCTTAGCTCAAGAAAAAAAGAGAATGCTAACAATTTGTCTCAAAGAAATAATTACTTGTGAACAGAACTTTATGGTCATGATTTACAGTTTAGCAAATATCCTGGCCTGCAGATTCACTTACACTTCAATTAATTTACACTATTATTTTATAAAGGTCCATGCAAATCCATACAAAAACAAAATCAACCACAAGAACATTCACACAACCCTGCACAGAAACTAGCATCAATGCAACTGACAAAGAATTGGAAAATAAACAGAAACTTACCCTCGTACATTCACATTGCACCATGAACAATATACGTTTTAAAAATTTACTTGCATTTTTGGATCACATACTCTATTATTTTTAATCATAAATATTTCAAGTGTCCTTAGAGCTTTACAATCTGACAAGTACTTGAACAAGAGGCCAAAGAACAACAAGTTGCTGTGTTTTTTAAAGTAGCACTTTAAGAGGCATTTATCACAATGTCTGATGGATGTGTGTACAGGATAAACTGCCCCAAAAGTGGATTCTTAGTAATACGGACCAATGTCTTCATATCCAGCATAGCTTGGCCAATTGGGAAAGATTCCCCGAGAGCATCTGGGGCTGCCAAAACGGTCAAAATGACCGTCCCAATCATTCACGCCATATCCCTGATGGCCATCGCTTGAGTCATTTGAACTCTTCTTCAGTGCTGAATGAATGATTCTGTAATTCTGTCCTTGGTTGTTATCCCAGAGAGTGACGCCATTGAACTCATAGCAAATGGCAAACTCAACATGTTCATGTGGCGGCATCTGATCAGGCAAACTAGCTTCGAACGAAAAGGTGTCGCGGTTTGAGCCGGTGTAAGTGTCCTTTATGTACTGGCATTTTATGTCTGTGTGGCTCTTCCAAGTGTCAAAGGTAATGCGAAGCTGAACAGACTTCTCGAAGGAAAGGTTTTTAACTTTAACCGTTCCCGCTATAGATTTTTCCTTAAGCATGCAGTGTTCGAGGCAAACATGATCATTCTCTATACGTTGGCGAAACTTCAAGTAATCTGCAGACGGCTGGTCAAAGTCGAGAGTTAACTTGTCCTTCCTTTCTGATAAAGTCAGAGAAGGGCTAAAGAACTGCTCGATATTGGTTGGGATGTCAATGGGGTCATCAAATTCAGAAAAGATCTTCACCACCGTCAGGGCGAGGCCCTTGTGATCAGCAAAGGATACTTGTTTTTTGGCCCTGCTAGGTTTTGCCAAGGGTGAGCTGATCCCATTCAAATCTGATTGCTCCCTAGAAGAGTTAAAACTTAATTTGTTACTTCGACACTGGTGTAGACATGGCTGCAAGGGCCTGCTGTATTTTGATGCCCTTGGGTTCAAGTACTCTTCATTTGGCAGATAAATCGGCATGGCCAGCTCGATTGGCATGGTGGATTTGTTGGGAGGGCAGCCACGTGCACTGAAAACACAGAAAAGTGTATTAATAACCACATTAAGAGAGTGAGAAAGGTCTATCCAGGTCTGTGAAGGTTGGTATGAAAGCGGATGAAATTTTTTTAATTTCACTCTTTTACTTTAATGTAGCACAGCATGAAGTCCTTGATATAAACTCAGTATGATATAATTAAAACATTATGCACAGCACCCACAGCTTAATATAGACTCAGAATGAAATAACTAAGCATTATGCAAAAGATTGCAGTAAATAGGTCAAACAAGTTTATCTTATCTAGAGGCCAGAGAGGGGGAATGGACTTGGACTGCAAGAGGATATTGAGCACCCTCTAGAGTTCATCATTTATAATATATTTAATTCAAAATGATTAAAAGACAGAAATCTTGATGTTCACAACAAAATGCCTAACTTTCTGAGGAGATATTATCTAAAGGTCATTGTTTAGAAAAAGCATTTTCAGACCAGGGAGTATTCAGATTAGAAATTAACTATTAAACATGACCACCCTCCTGTGGTGTCAGTATAGATGTTTAAAAGAGTATTAACAGGACAAAATACAATTGATATTTAACATTCACAAGGTTTTCATCTACATTAAAATCTACTAATGCCATGGCTCTATACTATATACAGTATTTGCCACAACTGAGAATAACTAATCCATACACACTGTATGTTGATCTGTTTTGTACAGTTTTATATTTGTTTCTGACTTAAATTGCGGTCTCCCCCGCCCCTATATGTTTACAATTGTAATTAATTGTATTTAAACTACTAAAACTACTAGTATGATTAGGCCTTAAGGCCTACCGTAATCATTTAAAATCTAAAAAAGTCTGCGATGTCTAGATTTACTACATTAGTATCTAATAGGCCTATGTAATATAATATGACCAAAATATGTGTGGGCTGGACTTGATTACGTCCATCGTAAATTGATTGGATCATTTGTTACAGATTTCTTCCCGCCCTCGCGGAAGTAAAAACGTCACCATATTAGATTACAAAGGGACATGAATTGTCTAAAAATAATAATTACAACGGAAAAACAATTTCGTTAAAAAAATAAAATAATAATAATTGACCATTTGCTACAATCCAGTAGAGGGTAGATTGCAACAGTGGCACTCAAAGTTTACAGTAATTTACACCAGGTAATAAGAAGAAAAAAATAAGATAGGCCTAAATAAAACAAAAACAAATTTGTAGCAGGCAAATCTGGGAATACAATTTCAAAGTTTGCGACAAATTGAATTAAAGAGTGTTACAAAACGCCCAGGTCTCAACAAGGCTACTAGCTTGTATCCATATACGGTCAGGAACAATGAAACATTGTTCCGGGCTGTCTTGGCAAAGCGCGAGATAAACTTATCTTTAGTTTAAAACAAATGGTGCATTGAAACAACAGGCAACGACAAGTACATTTTGAAACAAACAGTGGGATTCACACCTGTTGGAGCTCATTTGCAGTTGCAACTTTCGTCCGGGTCCAACATCTTACTGCTGCTACACCGCCTGTCTTAAAAGTTTATTCGTTTTTTGTAATGCAAAATTGTTTTCCTTTTTCATATTTTTTTTAAGTGTTAAGCCTTGCGTCCTCTAGTTTTGCGTGCATGCTCTTCCTGGTTTGTAGCGAGCACGACCGTGTTCAATAAGTTTCATATCTCCCTTAGATAAAAATAAAAAAGCCCTAACGTTACATGCTGCAACACGAATCAAATGCATGCATTTGTAATTCCTCGCGTACGCTTTAAAAGTACACAAGGGAATAAAAACTGTGACCATAAGTTAATGCATATACCTGTGTTACGACATTTGAATTGGGTCGAACTTCCTCCTCAAGCCCAGTGTCTGCGTCTTGTTCACGAGAGTAATATGCTCGTACTGATGTGTGTGCGGCATGAATGAGCTTCTGAACCCGGCACCAAAATTACTTACATTTCTGCCGACGATCAGGCCGTGTTCACGTGAACTACCTGTTTGGACCAATCACAACAGGCTACAGGGGCATGCACGCACCCCATGCTGATCAATGTCATGTCACGTGACTGAAAGGACTGGGGGTCAGTAGGCCATGTCTGGAGGCCCCACTGTTACAAAAATATGCACCACTTTTCCTACCATGAACATGAACCCACTAACTTCAGCATACTTTAGCCTTCTATGACCAGTGTACATCTTTTTTTTTTCCTGTTCATTGTATTCTGGAGATTATTGAAGAGCTGTTTAAAATATGTTGCCATTGAGGCTGGGGAGAATCCTAAAGCAAAGGGAAGCTGTTGTCTCAGGGACAGTTGCTCAGAAGAACTGATTTCTTTTCCACACCCAAGGTTTTGTCAGCTCAGTTATCAGTCTCTCGCTTTGCTATTTGTTATTTTAATGCACATCGATATCATATAATTACAATCACTGCGCCCGAAATCAAATACTTAGTGCGAAAACAATACGCCAACAAAGTAGTATGTCCGAATACATAGCATTCGAAAAACAGGCGAAAAGATGATCACGGGACATTAACAATATGGCGGATGTAGTATGTCCGAATTTCATTCATACAACTCATATTCATACTATCTATAAAAGTACTTTTTAACGGTTTTGAAGAAAGTTCAAATTCAAATGTTGTACTTACTCAGACAGTATGCCATTTCAGATGCACCGTTTGTTAGAGGAACTTTATTCACTGTTTTTGTCACAGAATGGAAAAGGAGAAGTTATTTATTAAGGAACTTAGTAAAATGGTTTTGTATCTTTTTATCTTTCTACATGTCAGGCTAATTAGTGGACTTAATTAAGACTATATTATTTGTCTCTCAAAGAACTGTGCATCCTGTCAGAATTATCCGTAGTTTCAGAACGGAGACATTGGGACACTGTACCTTATCTTGTTGCCACAACTGATGTACAGATAGTGCAGAAAATCCATAGATAAATCCAGATTCCAGATCAAAGAAACCCAACATTTGTAACATTTTCTGCACAATCAGCAGAAAAGGCGAACATGGGTTTAGCCACGTGGGTTGTGAAATAGTGAGCTAAAACAGACTGTAGAGAAGGTTAACAGGAGAACAGCTGTTCAGGCTTGTTCATTCTGAATCAATAGGACATCTAAAGGTGACAAAAAGAGTTTAAATGGGAGTCATGCTGCTTTTTGTGGAATATCTTTGATCCTTCAGTATATAAACAAAACAAAATGTCTGAAAGAAAATATATTTCTGCATGGTATTGATTTGTGATTATGCACCCAAATATTTCTTTCAGACAAAAACACAGAAATTGTTTTAACATCTTGACAATGATTTGAATTCCAACAGCTGGAAGTATTGTGCTTAACTGGAAATTTATTTTTAAACATGTGTACTGAACACTTAAATGACAGCTTGTCATTTAATATCAGCTGTCATTTAAGTGTCCAGTGCAAATGTCCTATGAAAAACGGCACCTCTGAATTTGTAAAGTGGCCACAGGAGGTATTTTATGAAGCCCTGTGACTGACAGAACAGGGTGACAAAGCCCACCAGGTGGACAGAAATGGAGCAGCTGTAGAACTTCCAGTGCACAGAATGCATTCCTGTAACAGCGTTTTATATTTAAAATAATATTTTTAAAACAATTTAATGCAGTTTTCATGTTATCAGCATAACAAATTAAGGAACATCTTAATTTAAAAAAAACAAAAGCATAAAATTTAGAATCTGGTGTCCGAAATATCGAATTTTTAATTACTCCACAACTATTTAAAAAGTATGTTCTACATATAGTGTGAATGTGTGTTGTATGTTTCTTTATTATTTTTCAAAACCCTAAACTTTCCATGTTTAAATTAGATTTACAATCTTATATTTTCAATTTGGTCTTTTGGACCAGTCTGTGCATATAGATATTTTGACAATATTTTAGACTCTCTTGAACATGAGGAGAAAATCAAATAGCTTTGTAAACAGTAATGTTGGACTGTGTGTGTGATAAGAGCGCCATGAATTTCACGCAAACATTGTCATTATGTAACAGGCATCAAACAAGCACCTTAGATAGGCCTACTTATACTTAAGCACAGGAACTTCAAATGTTCATCCCGGGCTAGTGTTTCAGCTTGGGCGACCAAATATTTCCAAACAGCTGAGAAAAAGAACTCTCGTCATCCCAGGGTGCAACAGTGAGGTAACCACTTTCACTAGCCTATACAAACAGTTAAAACAGACAGTTACAGAAGGGTAATATGCTGTTTTGTTTTGTCAATATTGGATCAGTGATGTTTGAGTTGCCCAATAAGGGTCAAAGAAATGAATAACAAGGATTTTTATAAACAGATGCTAATACATCCAAGACAGACTTTGAGCCATGGTTTTGGACTTGATATTGTAAACAGAAGTATGTTGATCTGTTAAAAGAGAAACAGGTTATGTGCTTGACGAATCATACAACTATTGTAGTCCTTCAACATCCACTTTGTTAAGACAATGTTAGCCACATATCTTATTTTAAACATAAATCGAAAATCAATTTACAATTTAATTTGCTGGTTTTAGCTGCTCTGTCTCATTAGACAACTAGCTTTAGAGGGGTTTAGGCACTTTTTAATTGGTTAGGCACTGGGAAACCAGCTTATAGGGATAGTTCACTGAAAAAAAATAAAATCTGTCATTAATATTCCAAATTAATCATTCCAAACCCACTTTCGTTCATCTTCAGAACACAAATTAATATCTTTTTAATGAAATCAGAGCGATTTCTGTCCCTCCATTGACAGGTAGCTACACAACTACCACTTTGACGCTTCAAAAAGTTCATAAAGAGATCGTAAAACTAATCCATATGAATTGAGCAGTTTAGTCCAAATTTTCTGAAGAGACATGATCGCTTATGATGAACAGATATAATTTAGGCTTTTATTCACATATAAACATTCATCAACTCACACATCAGTTGTGGTAAATGGAAGCTCAAGCATGTTTGCTTGACGTACGAGAACCAATGAGGCTCATTCTTTGTTACGCAGCAGGTTTGAGCTTCAGCAAGAGGTTTATTCTCACGCTTCAAGCAGGTTCGGAACGAGCTTCTGTTTATGTTCGCTGATAATTGTTTATATGTGAATAAAAGCCTAAATTAAATCTGGTCATCATATAAAGCGATCAAATCTCAATTTGGACTAAACCGCTCTGTTCACATGAATTATTTTTATGATCTATTTATGAACTTTTTGAACTGTCAAAGTGGTAGTTGCGTAGCTGTCAACTGAGGGACAGAAAGCTCTCAGATCATCAAACGATCTTCATTTGTGTTCCGAAGATGAACGAAAGTCTTACGGGTTTGGAATGACATTAGGGTGAGAACATTTTCGTTTTAGGGGAACTCTTTATATTGTTTGTCTTTATCATTTAGGTAGATTTCCTTACATAGCCTAACAGTCTATTTTCATTCCACTTTGCAGAGCTTTATCATTTCTTTTAATTTTATACTGCAGAATATATTTCTGTCTGAATCTTTATTTGTTTAATTTTTTTGTGGTTACCATGGTAATAAGTCACAGAGCTCAAAATATTAATTTATCCTTTTTATAATTTGAAAGCGGAAGTTTTATTCTGGCACTTCCCGGAAGTTCTCCCCAACTGTTTTCGCTGCCAGAGGGGGATCTGTGAGCGAAAATGGCGACGTCTCGTCGCACTACCCAGCAGCAACAACAACAACAAAACTTATCCTCCCCACCAAGACCCGACTCCAGTCCCCTCACGCCTCTGGAATCACCCACCGACACCAGCTGCCTTGCAGTTGGTGGGGAGCCGGAGAGCATCAGGGAACCGGAGATCACTGCTGATATTCCCGCTCCGCTCCTCAGCACCAGCAGCAGCAGCTCGAGCTCGAGCAGCACTAGCTCGTCTACCACCGGCGGGGGCAGTAGTGCGGGCTCCACTCCCGACTCCGGTAGTGCCAGTCCTGGAGGCAGCGGCTGCGGGACGAGTGGGGCTTTCAGGGAGCTGTTTGAGGCCTGCAGGAATGGGGACGTGTCCCGGGTGAAGAAACTGGTTGATTCGGTCAATGTAAACGCTAAGGACATGGCTGGGCGCAAGTCCACCCCACTTCACTTCGCTGCAGGTAAATACAAATACATAAATGTTTGCGATCAATCCCGACCTGGAAAGCAGCCAGGTAGAAGGTTTAGGTAGCTAAATAAACAGTAAAGGAAACGGGGACAAGGGGGGTACGGGAAAGTTGGGCCAAGTTGGCCAACAGGGCAGTTATGTAACATCTAGTAGAAAGTTAACCATTCTGGGAGCGAGGCTATCTGTCTGCTCGTGTTTGTTTTCGTGTGATGTGCTGCCCGAAAGTGAATAAAGTTCAACATACAGACTGAAGAAAACGTGATACACCGGCAAATAATCGTTAAAAGTAATAAATATCGTAATAAAGTTACAATATGTACTCCGATGTCCAAAATAAATGTTCACTTTGATTCACACAAATATGACAAAGTGAAACCGGACCCTCGCATGATACTTTAAAAATTCCAGAGCTGACAAATCCCCTTTAACATAAATAGTATTTGTTGCCGAAGAAACGTTATTATTGTTGTATTTTTTTTTTATGGGAAAATATATATTATAGCCCTATGCATCTAATTGGCACGTTATTATACCATTATTCAGTGTTGGAAATATAAACCTGGAAATTTAAGTGAATTTCAAAACAATGTTTATCAAATTAATACAATTTTAAAATTTATGAAAATTTCTATATCTTTTATTTTATTTTATTTTATGCTTAGCTTGAAACTCTGCAGAATGATTTTTAATAACCCTTGTCCAGTAATCACAAATGGCTGGATATCCAAACTGAATCACCCCCATGTGATTCAGTTTAAGACCCCATGAAATCACAATAAGGGTTTTGTGGATTTTATTTCTT